TTTCTAAGCCAGGCTTGATGGTACATGTCTGTAATCCCAGCCCTTGGGAGACTGAATGATCACTCTGAGTTTGAGGTCAGCCTGGGCTTCCACAATGACACCCTGTTCCTAACGCTCCCATAAATGAAAAAATGAATGAATGAATGAAAGTGTTTCTCAAAATCTCCTAGAATAATCTCTATTTCTAGTTGAAACATTACTTTTAAGTTAGAGGGGAAGACTCCAGATATAGTTGGTTCTGCCATATACTAGAGTTGGGTGACCCTGGGCAAGTCAGTCATTTCACCTCTTTGTTTGAAACGGTCTTTACTTTGTAGAGAGTCTGTGCAAAAAATAAACAAATAAATAAATGTACACACACTTCAGGAAAAGAAAAACAGTACGATGTTTTTTCAACAGATGGTGTTACCCTTGTATGGGGGACCCTAGAGGATGTCATATATTCCAGAAAGCCCATTTCACTGCTGATCCTTAGAGAAGAAATTGAAAATTCATGTGCAGCAATCTCAATGACCAAGGTTACCTAAGCAGCAGTTGGTGTACTAACAAATGTCTGGAACCTAATGGTCATCACTATGAACACCTCTTGTAACTGGAGAACCAAAGGTAACTTGTACTAATTTTATGATATCTCAATAAATTTAGTATTAAAATATTTATACAAGTTTTTCTTTTTCTAAAGTATGTGTACATTTTTTTGGCAGACTCTGTAGTTCAGGCTGGCCGTGAGCTCACTCTAGCCCAGCCCATGCTCAAACTTATGGCAATTCTCCTGCCTCAGCCTCCCAAGTGCTGGGATTATAGGCATGCACCACTACATGGGCCTGGCTTTTTTCATCTCTTTTTGTGTCAAATACCTATATGTAATTTGGAGAACATTGGATTGTTATTGTGAACTAAATCAGAAAATATATGTGGTGTTAAAAATAATGCCTGTATGATTCTCCCCCTCAAAAAAGACAAAATCTGAATACAGAAACAAATGTTAAGAATAAAACGATAAGCTACTATCTCTCTCCCTCAAAAAAAAAAAAAGTTAAGGCTAATTAAAAAGTACAGGAATTCATAAACAGCATGAAAACTGAAATAACTAACTTTTTCTTGGGCGTAAGGGATTGAACCCAGGATCTCACACACGCTAGACAAGCGCTCTATCTACCACCAAGAGACACTCCCTATCCCAACTCTAACTTTTAATTAACTAGCCAAAGAGCCTTCTAAGCAAAATTTTCTGCATACTTAACTTCAAAGACAGCAATTATTCGCAAGCCAATTTTTTATATACTGAAATTTAAACTTATAATAAGCACAAACAAGGGTCTGGAAACTCAATTTAAAGTATATTCAATCTTAAATGAATGAGATTTTCTAGAAAAAACAATTCTTATTCCACTCAAATAAACCTACTGTTCAACTTTCTTCATGCAATTGATTGTCTAGACCAGTGATGGAAAACTCTTTAGAGCTTTCAATGATACAAACAGCCCGTTGCAGCAAGCGTGCCACAGATTTGCCACCACTGGTCTAGACGGAAAACTGGGTGACACAAGGCAAAGTAGTTTTACCATAGAAATGAAAGGTAAACTTAATGAGTACCGTTAATGAGTACTTGAGTACAACTCAAGGGCCAGGGATTCGTCTGCCTGCCTCCCAAGCACAAGGTCCCGAGTTTGATCCAAACAAAACAAAACAAAACAAAACAAAGAACCCCCTCAACAATGACAGCTGGGCTGGGTGTGTAGCTCAGTAGTAGAAGTTGTGCCTAGCAATGTGCAAGGCACTGCAAATTAAAAAAGAAAGATACAGGGCCAGGGATGTGGGTTGCAGCACCTGCCTAGCAAGCCAGAGGCCCTGAGCTCGATTCCTGGTACCAAAAACATAAAAAATAAAATAAAAATTTAAAAAGTCAGGATATAGCTCAGTGGTGCGGCGCCTGCCTTGCAAGCGCAAGGTCATGAGTTCAATTCCTGATACAAAAGAAAACAAATACATAAATAAGTAAAATTTAGAAAAAGAAAGCTGTGTTATTGTCCTTCCAGTGTTTCTATGCTTACTGTCTTAAACTATTAAAGTCTTTGACGTGAGAATGTTTTATGATCATCCAGATATTCTTAGGCCCTACTACAGTGATACTGGCACCACAGTACAGCTTCCAGTGTTTCTTAAAAGAATGACAGAGCTGTCTTACTAAAAAATGAAAAATAATTTGCCCAATAGATCAACTGAAGACTAATTATTTGCCTTAGTGAAGCAAAACTAATGGGCCCCCTTAAATACATCCCTATGTACAAAAGAAGTTTAGTTCCTCTTTAACTGAGCCATATACACACAGGGTACGATCAGAAAATGCAATGGACGTTTAAATTTTTAAAAATTAATACACCAGAAGACCCTTTACCATTAATCCTCCTCAAAATACTCCCCCTTGCTTCAAACACACTCATCTCATCATTCTTACCACTTTCTGAAGCAGTTCTGGAAGTCCTCTTTTGTGAGCATCTTAGTTGTGCTGTATAGTCTTGGTGCTGTGGCTGCCTCTCTTCCCTAAACCAATTCAAAATGTTTGCCTTCATGGTCATTTTGACTCTGAGGAAGAGCCAGAAGTCACGCAGTGAATAGGTGGATATAGTGGATGAGGAAGCACTGTAATGATTTTATGAGTCTGCCTTTTCAATGGATAGCAATTCTGCACCATTCACTGCATTTTTTTTTTTTGGTACAGGGGATCCAACTCAGGACCATGCACTTGCGAAGCAGGCGGTGGAACCACTGAGCTAAATCCCCAGCCCCCATTCACGGTTTTTTTTTTTTTTTTTTTTTTTTGGTACCAGAGATTGAACTCAGGTCCTTGTGCTTGTGCAGCAGGCGGTGAAACCACTGAGCTAAATCCCCGGCCCTTTTCACTGTATTTTTGATCATACCACCTAAAGACCAGAAAGAGGACTCCTAGAACTGCTTCAGAAGGCGACCAAAAGGATAGAGTAACCGAGCTGGAAGAAAACAGGAGTGTTTTGAGTAATTAATGGCAATATGTCTTTTACTATAATAATTTTAAAAACTTAAACATTTACTGTGCATTTTAATCACACTTCATATATATGTACATATATGCAGAAATGTATTCCCAGATTTCTTATAACTCCAAACTTACTAAAATAGCTGCAATGTGCCCTCTTCAGCTAAAATTTTAACAGCCAAGGATGAGAAAACTGTTAAGTTAAAAATCATTCAAACTAAAGGTTTCCTATTTCTCCCAAAATTTCAAGAGCTCTGAAAGGACACTATCCAGATTCAATTGAAAGAGTTTATCCCAACATGTACAAACTGTTTTGGGTACCCTAATAAATAAGGAATTAAAAATAAGGTCTCGGCCCCAAATAATAAGCAATTAATTTGTATACTACACAAAGCAACTAACTTCTAATTTCTATAAAGAACTTAACATGTCTTTCTTGTGGAGACAGAGAAAAAAAATCCTAGAACTTTTGTTTGAAAGAATGAAGGAATTATTAAAATTAATCCCCTAGGAAAGCTGACAGCTTATTTCATTATTAAGTGCAAAGTTATCACCCATAATTAGCACTTTACTATATCATATTACCTTATCTTTCAGAGATAGCAATCTGAAACTAAAGCACCTTTCGAAATTCTGAAATTTACTGTTTTTGGTTTTCAATCTACCGTATGCCATCCCGGTGCACTCTGTCTCCAATTAAACATCTGGATCTACTGTTTTTTCTTTTTAAAGCAAACAAAAAGACATCCTTTTGTTTAAAAGGCACAACACACTCGCTCCACGCCTAAACTAGGTTTTCACTTGCTCAACTGTTACACTACGGTAAATATCCCAAACTTAACAGCACTCGATTTCAAGTACCGATACAAAATACTTTAGATCAGCCATTCAACAAATTACAAATTTAAGTCATTTATTGAAGGATATCAGTCACTTGTTGGATCGGATTTACAGAGGAACGTTAACTTGTTACTAAACTAAAAGATGAACTACCACTAACTCTGTGTTTTCCTGGTAAGCTGTACATATCAAAAGCGTTTCAATAAATATGACAAGCCAACATCGGAGCACAAAGTTGACACATAAAACTGACACCACAGCAGAATTTCAAAACTATAAGCAACAACCAAAAAAACAACAAAACCGCACCCATTCTTATGTAAAACTTTTCAAGTTAGCAAACTTTGTAAGCCCCACCTTTTTCACCTACAGTAAATCGTCAAGATAAACTACCAATAGCAAAACAACAAAATCGAAAGATTCAGTTAATGTCTCATAGGGGAAAACGACTAAAATGTTACGACATATTTAAGTTATCGGAGAACAGGGTACTTCCCCAAGCTACAGCCATTTTAGATTCAGTCTTTCTTTTGAATTTCACGGGGGGGGGGGTAAAAATGGGGGCGAGCTGGTGAAAACACTTCAAGATCAACCAGTTTCCTACCCTCTCCGTGGGGAGGGGATTAATACTCGACAGTCTAAAAGAAAACACTCTTCTAAGGCGAACTGGGACGTCGGGGGTGAGAGCTTGAGCCTCTTTCCCCTTCAGATACCCTACATTTGACTTTTTCCTCCTTAGGTTTTCCTTAATAGGCAAACAAAAGCCTTTGGCTCTCATTTTAAAGCAAGAAAAGGCAACACGTAAACCACGCCACTCAATCTCTCCCAAGCCCTAACGCCTGGAGAGGAGCCAGAGAGCCGCAGGTGAGCGTTCCGACCCGAAGACCAAAGTTGAAGTCGGAGTGCTCTGGCGGAGCCGCAGCCACGCTCACAGGCGAAGCTCCACGCGCCAGTGTGGGGGGCGTCTCAACCACAGGACCCATGGGCTCTGCTCGCTCCTCCCCGGGCGGACCCACACCAGACCACCTGTGAGAGACCTTCTTCTAACTACTTTTAATATATAGTTGGTTAGGCAACGGGCGGAGCCCCGCGCCGGACGACTCCAAGGTCCCCTACCGCTCCGTTGACCGAGACTCCAACTCACCCGGCAGCTGCAGGGCTACAGTCAAGGAAGAGACGCGGGGTCCGAGGACCCGTTCCCAGCTTCCCGGCCCAGTAGAGGTGACTAGCCCACAACCATAACAAAGCTCTTCCCAAAATGGCTGCCCTGCCCACAAGGCCCAGAAGGGGCAGAGCGGGAGGAGGAGGAGCGAAAACCAGCCCGCCCCCCCAACCCCGCCTGGTACACGCCCACCCGCCCGAGCGGAAGCGCATGCGCAGACCTGCTCCAGTGACCCTGAGGGGTACCGCCGCGCCTCAAGCCCTCGATGTTCTAGCTGGCAAACGGCAGGTTTTCCCTGTCTCGTCCCCAACACCCTCCAGCGCACCTAGACGCAGTGTGCATGGTCACCCTCCCCCTGTGCAGTTAAGTCCTTGTCTTTTCCTCGCGCAGCCTGACAAACGAACCGAGTTTAGTACTCTTCTTCATATCCTCCTGCCGAATAGGCGGGCCTGGGCGCCCGTGAATGAGTGGTAGTGTATGTATGCAGGTATCGGTTCTTCGCAGACCATTCATTCCTCAGCCTCCCACATCCCGCCTCTGGCAAAGAACGCGTCGCTAAACTACCTCTATCCGTACTACCAACTCGGTTTTGAAGGAGCGTGTGATTCCCGACCCCCGCCCACCTTCTGCTCCTTCCTTCTCTTGTGCGCGTCGTTGAGACTCCAGCCCCCAGTGGGCCACAGGGCCCTGCTCCAGAAGCCTGCGCGGCCACAGCTGGCGCGCTACCCGCCGGGAATGGTAGTTCCTGGGCACCGAGGGCGTCGCACCTCCCCGCCCCAAGCACGGGGCCGGCTTCTGACTGAGCCTGCGTTTTTACTACGGCAGAAAAGCCGTTTTTCCTACCCAAAGTCTCATTGGGTATCATGCGACGGGAAGGGGCGGTGCTGCCAGGCCGGAAAAAGAAATAAAAGTGAAAGCCTTGGCGGGATCCTAGCGGTTACCACTCTGGAGGTTTTGCTGAGTTCCCATCCTACTCTGGAAGCTAAGGCATATGAGGGATGGCAACCAGGAAGCTAGGCTACGGAGAATCCAGGAGTGGAGGAACTGGCACGGGGCCATAGACAAATAAGCTCTTCAATTTGTCTTTAGCTTTATCTTCGAGACGGAAGGATACTCAAATTGCCTGGTGTCGTTTCTTATGGTAGACTGATACCGAGTCTCAGAGAAGGAAAGGTCACACAGCCGAGGGTGATAGAAATGATGTCTTCTCGGATACCGCCCCCCCCCGCCCCCCCGGTTCTTAACACCATAGCGAGATTCATGGAAGTGAAAATCCTGCCCCTTGGCTCTTTATTCCTTAACGAAGTTTCTAAGACCTTAGAAAAAAACGGAAATAAAAAACCGCACCCCACCCCAGTAGTAGAAAAGGACCCTAATGCGGAGTAACACTTGTCCCGTCGATCCAAAACCCGGCTGTTTTGAAAATTAAAAAAAAAAAAGGACTGCGGGAGATGGCAATTTGGGCAAATCACATTTGACCTAGATTCCACACTACTACCTTCCTTCACCTTCACTCTGAGATTGTTTCAGAACGCTGCAAGCTGATTCGGCTGGAGGGGAAGCTTGGAAAAGAGATTGTTCAAGTACCTTGTTCAACAACTGACTTCAACCAAACTAAAGATTTTGAAGACTGTCTCCAAGACGGAAAGCTGAGCGTAGGAACCTTTAGCTCAAGTCAAGTACCCACCCGGACTCAGTTTTTCGCTTCTCAGGAAGTAGGGGGCAAACTCGACTTGCCGGAAGTGCTTTTCTGCGAGTCGCTGGTTCTTCTGAAGCACAGCTTACCATAAATCCACGCTGCTGGCAAGTATGGTGTGCTACAGATGAGGTTGGGAAACGGGTAACCAAGAGTTGGTAGTAAATAGCAGAGAATCTTTGCGTTTAAACTCCTTCCCCATTCCTGTAATGTAGGCCTGAGGCTTGAAGTTTGCTGTCGACTCATTTCGTAAATGGGAACGTTTGAGTGTCTTCTGAATTGGGCGGATTAATCCTGAAGTCTTTGTCCTTAATCCCTACATCACTGTTGTCTCAAGGCGTTAGGCTTTCACTTTTTCCTTTAGTATTTATTACTTGGAAAACGCGTGCCACTGTGCCTAGGAAGTTTTCGAAGGTGGAAGGGGATTGAGATTTTAAAGGGTGTAGTCTGTAAAGTTCTTATGAAGAAAATTATTTGTGAGCGACATTGAGGGCGTGGAGGTCATCCAGACAGCGTGGAAGCCTAGGAGAATTTAACTCACTACTTGCTTCCTAACGTATAAAACGAAGGCATTGACTACTATATATTTATCTACCCTGCTCTAAGATTTGTGATCAGTTTTACCCCCTAGGTCTGAGGGTTGAATCCATGGCTTTCGAACTGAGGTACATCTCGAGGCTTTGGGGGCTGGGGTGGAGAGGGTGAAGACGGGACAAGGTCTTAAGTTGATACATTGCTCAGGCTGGGCTTGAATTTGGAATCCTCCTACCTCAGGCCTCCCAGAGAGCTAGGATTACAGATGCGTGCCACCACACCTGACTTTAATTTTTTAAAAATTAAGAAGCAAATATAAGTTTTAAACACCTTATTTCTCCTCCTGAAGAATGGAACTGGGCCTGGCGTGGTGTGCCAATGAGGCAGGATTCATTACAAGTTTGTGGCCAGGCCCTGCAATTTAAACTGTCTGAAAAATTTGGTGTATGTTTGTAACTCGGTAGAGAGCTTACCTAGGATGGTCGAGGCTCTGAGTTCAAGCCTCAATGAAGAGGGGGGCACGTGGACCTGTCACATCTAGATTCAAGTTTTCATTCAGCCTCTTACTGGCTGCTTACATTAGATTAGGCTTCTAACCATTCCTTTGCATGTAAGGCAGGTATAACAGCTGGTTTTTGGGTGCTCATTTTGTCAGCAACAGTTCTCAGCTCCTATATATATTTACTAAAGTTTTACAGTGACCCTATGAAGTAGTTCTTACTCTTTCGTTTTTTCCACCCTACAGGGTGCCAGAAATTGAACCCAGGGCCTCCTGCTACACTCTCTCAGATTCCCTTATTTTGAAGGTGACTGAACTGTACTAGTGCAATGTTAAGTCACTTATCCACAGCCAGTGTTAGAGCCAGGACTCCAACCCAGACTGATACCAAAGTCTACATTTTTAACTTAATGGGAACTGTCTCAATATCAACTTAATGAAGTTATTGTGAGCAATGAATTAATGTAGGGCCAGGATGTAGCTCAGTGGTGCCATGCCTTCCTGGCAAGCACCAAGGTCCTGAGTTCAATCCCCAGTACCCCCCCCCCAAAGTTAATGTATATAATGTATATAAACCATGTAGTTCCAGTGCCTGGCTTATAGTTAAATTGTATTTGTTGCTGCTATCATTATTTTGAGATGTAAACTTTGGGGGGGGGGTGTAAACTCTTAACCACCAAACTTCTTTGGTGCCTAAGGGGGGATAGATAACTAAAGGGAACAGAGAAGCTGTGACCTTCCATTTTGTTTGTTCACTTATTTATTTAGGGTGGTATTGGGATTAAACCCAGGGAGCACTGAGCCACATTCCTAGTCCTTTTTAAAAAATTTTATTTGGAGACAGGGTCTTGCCAAGTTGCCCAGGCTGGCCTTGAACTTCTGCTCCTCCTCCCCCAGCCCCCGGAGTAGCTGGCATTACCACCCCTGGCTATGCATTCTTGTTGCATTTGACAGCCAAAGCTGAAAGAATACCTCAGGGAAGAAAAAGATCCATTTCTTTAATATGTAACTAATTCTTTGAAAGCATTAATGATTATTTCCAAAGAGAATTCTGTTATATGGAAGAAATGCTCATGACTTAACTTTTTAAAATTAATGTTTCAAATGATGTCTTGTTTTATGCACAGCAACATGCTTCTGATTCAGCCCTTCTACCAAACTGTAAAAATATGTTAATCAGAACTGCTTGGCATCTTCCTGAAGAAAACTTTCAATAGGGGCCAGTATGCTTCACTTCATTCAGAGGTTTTCTCAAGCATCTTCAAAGGTTGGTTTATTCGGCAAGTACTAAACATTGTGTGCCAAGACCAGCTCTGGCTGGGGTAATAGCAGTAACAGAGACAAAAATCTTTATCGTCATGTATTCCAGGGTGTGTGTGGGAAGACAATACAAGTAAGTAAAGTATTTAATAAGGCAGTGCTATGGAGAACTATTTAGCAGGGAAGGGGAATAGGAAGTATCAAAAGTAGATGCAGGATTGCACTTTATTAGAGATCAGAAATGAAGAAATGGGCCATATAAGTAGCTGAAGGAGCATTTCAAACGGATTCAAAAAGGGAAGAGGCCCCAAGATGAGGTCATTCTACACAGTTGTTTTTGTGGGGTTTTTTAGTACTGGGGATTGAACTCGGGACCTTACACTTGCAAGGCAGGCGGCGGAACCACTGAGCTAAATCCCTGGCCCCTCTACACAGTTTTGAAGAATTGCATTTTCTAATTTCATATAACACATTTTTAGTTGTTTTTGCTTAGTTGAAGTCCAACATCTGCTCGCTAAAGCACAGAATAAGAAGGAAAGGTTTTTACTTTGGTCTTGTACCATAAAAGGGACTGGGATTTTCTTTAAAGGCAAAGAAAAAACTATGACCCTAATTCTTGAGTCTACTAAGATAAAGAGAAGTAAACACACAATTTACTATCATAATTGTGATGTCAGGCAGGGTGCTCTCCTCTTGTCCCAGCACTAAGGAAACTGAGGCAGGAGGAGTACCATAAGTTCAAGGGCAGCCTGAACTACATAGTGAGACTTTGTCTCAAAAAACAAAAGAAAAAAATTGTGATGGACACTTGAATACTTACTATAGGAACTTTAAATTGCACTGGAGAAGGGTTCAGAAAAGCTTCCAGCTGAATTTTGAAAGATAAGGTAAATTTCTTACATAGAAAAATAGAAGGAGCTAGATTTCTAGGCAGAGACATGTACAAAGGCATGGAACTATGAAAAGTATGCAGTGTTTATAAAGATAATTGGAAGATAGTCTTTTCTGTACATAAAATAGCATTCCCACAGTAATCAGTGCTACTTCTTTTGCAATTTACAAACTAGAAGAGGCAATTTAGAAGGCCAAATGCTAAAGACGTAATCTTTACTTGCGCCTCTTTCACATTTCTCTCTTATTGGGATAAAATACTGATAGGTCAAAATATATCACTGGTTTCTATTCAATATTTTCTTTTGCATGTTGTATAGCAATTTTTGTTTTAGCAGTATTTTTCATATATTTAAAGTTTTTAATTAACATAGTAATTGTATAGATTTTTGGGGGTACAGTGTATAGCTGTTTAAGAGTAACATACTCTAGTTAGTATAACTTGTCTGTAAAATTTGATGTGCTAAGAGAAAGCAGTTCTTTTTGTTAGCTTGTTTTCTCTTTTTCTTTTTTTTTTTGTACCGGGGATCAAACTCGGGACCTTGCACTTACTTGCAAGGCAGGTACCAGAACCACTGACCTAAATCCCCAGCCTTTGTTAGCTTGTTTTCTTTAAAAAAAAAAATTGATTCAGATTAGAATTAACTAAAAAATCTGGTGGGTTTTTTGTTTTGTTTTTTGTCTTCTGGTTCTATTTATAGATGCTGAAGTGTCCTTTCACAGTGAGACTAGGAGCCAGCAGGAGAACAGATACACTTTCTCTTAAGACATGTCTGCAGTGGGACCTTTCCTCTTTGTTTCCAAGATCTCGGTGTTTTCCTTCATTTCCACTGTGTATGAGTAAGGTACAATACTATCATACATCACCGTGCAGCTTTAAGAAGAAGCAGAAGCAAGAAGTACTTCCAGCCAGGCCACCAATCACCATCACTTACCTGCCTAAAACCCCAAAGCCGGCATTGTATATAACTCTGGCAGGACTAATCCCTTTTATTGCTCCACCACTAATCATGGTGATGACAAAGTCTTATATCCCTGTATTAGCTTTCACTCAGATGGCTTATGGAGCCAGTTTCCTGTCTTTTTTGGGAGGGATCAGATGGGGTTTTGCTCTGACAGAAGGTAGTCCAGCCAAACCAGACTACGTTAATTTAGCTAACGGTGTAGCTCCTGTTGTGTTTTCATGGTTTGCCTTCATCATTTCTGAAAGCCTCAATGAAGCCATAATCACAGTAATAATAGGTTTGGGGCTAGCATTACACATTGAAGTTTTTCTCTTGCCACATTATCCCAACTGGTTCAAAGCCCTAAGGATAGTAGTCACTTTAGTGGCCTATTTTTCATTCATAATCACTTTACTACTTCAAGATATATATCCAGAGAAAGGGCCCAAGAGACCTGATTATGTGGAATGAATAAACTATTTTGCTGATAACATGTTGGCTACACATTTTTTTGTATGTGAGATGGGACGGTGGGGGTGCTGGGTATCAAACCTAGGGCCTTGAGCATGGTTGGCAAGCACTTTGCAATTTTAGGCTGCTCTCCCACCTCCCTGCCTACAAGCTTTCTAAAGTTGTATTTTGATAACATCTTTTTCTATTCCTGTTTGTCCTCCCCCACAGTAATAATTTATTCCTCATAGATTGTTCTGCATTTGTAAAAGTCCTTTCTAGTAATTACTTGAGCAAGAACTTGAAAATCCCACAAAGGTCCTTGTCATATTAGGTTAATTTACATTCAGTCTTTATGAATTACATTATTCACTTAAACATTTCAATGTTTTTTGGTTTTTTTGCTACTGGGGATCGAACTCAAGACCTTGGTGCTTTCGAGGCAGGTGTGGTACCATTGAGCTAAATCCCCAGCCCAACATTTCAGTGTTTTAATTGTGTTGAAAAATGTAAAATAAAAAAGACAAAAAAATCCCTTTTTTTATGCCCTGCGTGGTAGCGCACGCCTATAATTCCAGCACTCTCCTAGCACCCAGGAGGCTGAAGTAGGATTGCTCCAAGTTTGAGGCCAGCCTGGGCTACACAGTTCAAGACCAGTCTGAACTGCATAGCAAGACCCTATCTCAAAACAATAACAACAACAACAAATCCCCTTTGTTAGAGCCTTGTGATCACTAAATACATACATGGGCCAGGGATTTAGCTCAGTGATGCCGCCACCTGCCCTGAAAGCGCAAGGACCTGAGTTTGATCCTGGGTACAAAAAAAA